GTTCTTTAAAATGTAGATATTTCCCAGTTAGTTGTTATTGCCTTTTTTGTGCTTTTGCTTTGTATAGGAAGACTTTGCTTGTGAGACAGATTTGTGTTGCCATAAACAAAAATTTTTTACCTAGAAGAGACTCGTAGACACCATCTAAGAGTTCTTCCAAGGCAAAAAAATGAAGAAATATTTTTCTAACACTAATGCAACCCATCTGTAAACTGCCCCTGAATTGATTGGATGATATGGCTTGGCAACTTTTAGTTTTGTCTTTGCCAGTTTCTTGCATGATATATTTGCACATTATGTATTTGCAGGTCAGATACTGGCTTATATTATTTTGCAGAATTGTATTTATATTAATGCGGAGTTGTATTTCACCTTTATACTTTAAAAAGGGAAAGTAAGTCTATAAATAGCAACATAATAATATAATTTGGGTAATTTCATCTAACTCTTGTTGCCAAGTATCACAGCTAAGATTTTATGGGGATGAATTATTTAAAATATGAAGGCTGTTGGTCAAAGCAGGGTTCATGCCTCGCATGTATGAAACACTAGGTTAGATTCCTCTCCCATCTCCCTTTCAAGAACTCTAGGACTCTAAAAGTCACCTTAAATTCAAATTTAAGATGAGTCTCTGTGAATATCACATAAGCATTTTGCTATTTATTTATCACAAAACTGCAATGCATCTTAAATTCGAATTTAAGATGTCTTTGCGAATATCTCAAAAGCATTTTGCTCTTTATTTATCACAAAACTGCAATGAAGTTATGAGTACTAAAACTGCCTGAGCAAATAGCTAAAATAGAAATAGACATGAACCAAAAATACTAGTGCCTAAAGAGGAATCCTTTATCAAGAATTCAAAACATGGCAATAAAATAACATGGTCAGGAAAACAGATGGCTATCTCTTCTACATCACTCTGTAGTCTTTAAAATAGCTTTCAAAATTAATCCAAGTTGCAAGAACAAACTTGTTGGGACAAACGAAACTGACCAAAGGCATTAAATTCCTAGCATGTCACTCCCCTTTCTTACCATTAGATGGCGATAGAGTGAAGCTATCATGCGCATCTTTCCCCTTATGCAGGTTAGAGAGCGAGGAAAGGAGACAAAGTAACAATAAGTACTCTCAAGAGATACAGTATTAACCCATATGGAACATAAATATTTGCCTAAATGTTCGATGCTAAGTTTAACCCACTTGCACTACCACTCTCCAGCCCCTGGAAACACTTTTTAGAGATACAGCGGCCTCGGAAATTAAGGCCTTTTCTGCTTTGGGTTGTTATTGTATCAGAATTTTTAAAAATTTTTATTTGATTAAAGAACTGTGACTTGCAAAGCTGTTGATCGCTGGGTTTTAGACACACTATATTTCAACACCAATCCCACCACCACTGTTCATTTCCCTCCCCCAGGGCTCCCATGGGCCCCGCAACCTTCGACAGGCACATTTCAAAGTTCTGTGGTTGTAGTTGAGATCTCATGCTCTCAGTGATTCTGAATCTTTGCTTTGGATTTACAGCTATACCACTGAGGGAGCCACATTTTTCTACACTAGATGAATTTTCATAATTGTCAAAGGGACAGTTCATTAAAATGATTTATCACTTGATCCCCCGTTATTCATCGATTTACTCGAGCGGGTGCCAGTAACGTGTCCATTCATCCCTGTTGCGTGTTAGCATAGCCCAATGGCATCTGTTCGTTCTAGGAACATGCAGAGCCTCAAACCGATCATTGACAAGAGGTCTGACCATCTTGTAGGTGGGCGTCCACGTTGGTTAAATGAGGAAATTAAACTAATAGAATTATACTGACAATAGATAAAATATGTTGTATTGACTTTAAAAGTACCCATTATAGTAATGAACCACCTTTTTTTTTCTAAGTTGTATTTACTTTTAAACACAGAGGCACAATTATATTTTTATCAAGCATTGGGTATCACAATATGAAAGGAAAACTTCTAGCAAATTTTAAGATTTTAGAATGATTTAAACATGCAAAAATAGGCACTTTGTTTTTAGGACACAGTGAAGTAATATCCTATAAACAATCTTTTCCTGAAACAACAAATAGTTTTCTCCTATTTATAACTTTGTTACTACTTGACCTCATATTATGATCTTTTGTGAGAGAACAGTGACTGTCTTGTCACATGACTGGAAATACAGTAGATAAGGTTTTTGTTTAGGTTTGGTTTTTGGTTTGGGGCTACACCTGGCAGTGCTCAGGGCTTACTGCTGGCTCTGTGCTCAGGCCATGTTGAAGGCAGATGCCCTGCCCATTGCACTATTGCTCCAGCCCCAGTCCCAGTACTTAAGGTTTTTTTATATGGGCTGGAGCGATAGCACAGCGGTAGGGCGTTCATCTTACAAACGGCCAACATGGCCAACCCGAGTTCGATTCCTCCACCCCTCTCGGAGAGCCTGGCAAGCTACCGAGAGTATTCGATATGCCAGACACAGTAACAACAAAGTCTCCAATGGAGACGTTACTGGGCCCGCTCGAGCAAATCGACGATCAACGGGGAGGGCCTTTACCTTTACCTTTACCTTTATATGTTTATGATAATATTTTTAAGTGATAAATGAGTATTTTCAAGATCATGTGACTTGATATGTTTTGCCAGAAATTTTACCTCTGGAACTCGTTCTAAGAAATAGGTCAAATAAAGAAAACAGTTATTTGTGATGGAATGTTTATTCAATTGTTATTGGTTTTAGTGAAAAGGGTTGTAACAAGTCTAACTTCAAAAACAAAAAAGAAATGGCTAGGAAAACTTAATGAGTATTTTTATACATTTATACAAGAGAACTGAATATTATCTTTCTAAGATTTAAAATAAAAAAAACAAAGAAAAAGGCTAAATAATTATTGCAAAATATTAATAGCAATTGATATATACAAATTTTATTTCTGCATAAGAGTCATACATATATACACATGACTGGATGAGAACTCAAAATGAAACAAAATATAGACTTGTAAAGGATTTATATTTCCCTTTTCATTTATTAAAATTGATATAAGAATATTTTATATCATTCTCAAAGTACTAAATGATCTTAAAATGACTAGAAAACAGTTTAGTCTTGCTTTTAAGTGAGGTACTATGATTGACAATATGCTAATGATGGTTTTAGGTATACATCACTCCTACACCACACCCATCACTAAGGTTCCCGTGTTTCCCTTCACCAAAGTCCTGCAGTCCCTTCTCTTTGAACACACATACACTCAGACACACACACACAAACACACACACACACACAGACACACACACATTCAGTTCTGGGGACCAAGTCTCCAGTTCTGTTGCCTTTGCCTCTACGTCGCGTGCATTACCATGTAACTTTAGATCCCACATATAAGAGAGAGAAAGATATTATTTGTTAGAGCATTCATTTTCTTCTGTTAGTCATTTTTAACCATGTTTGCAACCTTAACGATAATTGGTAGTTATTTTATGAATAACTTATGGATTTTGAATATGAATATGAATATTCATAAATCATTTTATGAATAACTTATGAATATTGTATAATCTTCCATCATACATATCAAATACTTTTATCTACTTTCTAGTCTTAAATTTATGTGTTCCATGACCAGATTGTTGAGTGAAATTTCTAAGAATAATATGAGTGATTATCAGTAATACAGCCAAAACTTAACATTTTAGTAATGTAGGTAATTAGTCTTCTGATGCTAGATATACATACAGTTCGGATGGAAAAGGAATGGATAAACAATCTAGAATTTTGATTCTAGATTCACAGCTCGGATTGGAGAGAAATAGATAAAGCTTTTGGAATTTTTAAATCTCCGTACATTGTCAGTATGGAGATTGAAAGAACCCCAGATTTCCCATCTAATCTTGGCCCAATGAAGATTCTGTGGATAATTTGCTAGGAAAAATATCCAGGCTATAAGCAATTCTTCAGTGACTCCGGAATCCAAAAGTTGGCCCTGATGTCCCAGGACAAGGATCTAATCAAAGAGTTACTTTTATGATTACCATGCAAATCTTTGGTTATTTCATTTCACCATGGAGCCATCACTTAGAAAAGAATGCTTTCGAAATGTGCTGTGAATTAATGGTAATGCTTTTTTCCCCTTGACATTAACATTTAGGTGGTGAACATAAACTACGTTGAGTTCACATGTTCAACAAACTTATTAACTTTCTTTCATTGCAATATTTATAAGGCTATGTGGAATGCTAAGGCTTGTCATTTCCAATATTATAAGTATCTATTACAGATACTGATCTTGATGCTTAGTTTAAAAAGAAAGGAAACTCTTTTGAGAGTTCAGTGCACTGGAAATTTCTACCAATATTTCTCTACTAAGGTAAAATGTTACATGTTACCTGGATATTGTTTGTTTTATTCGATTTAAAGTTCTCTGTTTTATCTTTTTAAAAAAAATGCATGTGTTTTTTTCACATTGAGAACAGAGAATGTGAGTTCAAATGTAGCATGGGATGCCTGCCCATTGATTCTTTCATCTGTACTGTATGTGAAAATGTTGTCCATGAAGGAAAAGTATATTAGAATGAATGCGGAGACTTTGCTGTTAGACTAAACGTGGCTTATTTCCTGCGTGTTTGAGAAAACGCTAAAGAACACGGCTGTATAAAGGTGTCCATCCTTCCCATTCGAGTGGTTTGGTGTCTACGTTCTTGCCATATTCCTGAACTTTGAAAAATCAATGGGACTAAACCATGACTTTTTCCTAAAGTTTGAGCAGTCTAGATTTTGGAGGCATTCAAAACATTTGAAACCTCAATGGTTTTAATTTAACTTAAAATATCCTTCAAATATTTTAATAACGAATTCTGCAGAAACCATTTCTTTGTGTTTCCCTTCCTCTTGGTTTTTTACAACAGGAAATATTAAATGTCAAGAAAAGTACCATGCCATTACCCAAGTTATCTTTTAATTAGTACCAGTTAAAGCATTGATTACATTGAAAATCATTTCATTTCAGCCACAGCGTCCTGTGTTTACTCATGAAAACATTCAAGGTGGGGGGGAACCGTAAGTATTCTTCTTATCTTCTAAATACAAAGACTAACCTTGACCCACTTAGCTTTTAAAATGAAGAACTAATTAACCCAAACAGGCTGGTGAGAATTTGCAAGTGAAAGAGATCACAGTAACTAACAACTAACGTGAGATCTCAAAAAAAAAATTTTTTTAACTGTATTTGTCTCTATCTTTTGTAGCAGAGAGCAGAAATAATTATTTTTTTAAATAAAAAAACACTTTGACTTTATCAAGAAAGAAACTGGAGTTACAAAGAAAAAAAAAAAGACTATGCGTCCACTCCACACAGAGATTCCAGAGACATATATATATCGGTCTCTTTCTCCCTTTTTCTTCCCATGTAGATCTATATGAACTATTGCCTTATAGACACAGAAAATGTTCCAATGCTGTTTTTCACATATTTGGAGTCTAGGACTAGGACGTGTAAAAGTGGAACCAAAGTGATAAGTTACTGCATGATATTTACCACCACAACCCCAGGAAAATGACCTTTAGTACTTCCAAATTCCTCTCTTTTCTGATAGAATCCAATCACCCTGAGGTTATCAGACTTAAGCTCTTAAGATTCTCCTTTCTGGGTGTATCCTTCTTCTCCATTTTGCTTCTGAGAGATGGTGTTTGCTTGCTATTGGCTGCCATGTACTCCGACTAGACCCCTGGGCAGGAGCATGCATTAGCTTAAATTCTTAAATTGTGCCCAGCCCACATGAGTACATGCAGTGAACCTCCCTCCAGCTCTACTCACCCTGGTGTGGCCTTCCTGCTCTTGTTGCCTACGTCACCATCAGTTTCCTTCCTGCTACTCATAGACACGGCACTAAGCTAAAAACATGCTCCTCAAAAGCCGTCTTCCCCTGAGACTCTCTCTTAACTGATTGCTGCCAGAAGGATCTCGTGCAGGAAAACCTTGTATTATAAGAACAGTTTGAAAGGAAAAATAATGTTGAAATCGCATTTAATTGGCTAATCTTTCCATATGACTTGTAATGATAAAGTTGGGGATTTATTTGCTTATTGACACAAATGGTGACGAGATCACACTGCAAAAAATTAACTCCAGGCCTGGAGATTTATTGCATTACCTACACATACTGCTCAGCGACTTTTCAGGAGTTTATGAATCAAAAGGTATGTCACACTATTTTTTGTAATATGGAGATAATGTTCCCAGTTTCTTCACTTGGGTGTTTATGAAACCACCGAGGTGAGAGAAGGTACATTTTTCAAAATCTTGCTTTGAACAAAATCTCTATTAAATTTTGAACATTTATCTCTATTAAATTTCTGATGACTTCCCCTAGCTAGTGGGATGATGGAGCGATTGCCGAATCTCTTTACTTTAAAGGTATTTTTTGAGTTAAAACATAAACTGATAGTGTCACCACAATTCAGAACAATGGTAAAATCGAGAAAGGGGTGTGAGTTATAGAAAGAACCTTAAGTTTGGCCAAGCATTCTCTGCGGAAAAGAAACTTTTCTTTTGGTACATCTTGCCCCTCCATTGTCTCTCATCCCACCCACCCATCTTTCAGAACAGCATTTTTTACTAGCTAGACTGCATTTCCTGTCGTGCAACACTGGTTTTCAAACTAACAGAGGCAGGAGGGTTGCCGGGAGGTTTGTCTTTATTTCCCTGCAACTCCTGCTCTCTCCCCTTTTTATGGGCTAATTAAACCAAAATGGTAAGTAAATTTTGACAGGCACACTGGCTTTTATCATACCTAAGTGAAGTCGGAGTTCGTGCCAATTTTGTTGCTTTAGCTCTTGGGACCTTGAGATTCTTCAAGCAGCTGGAGTTTATGACCTTAAATAGGCCTGTCTCTAAGTGGTTGGAGAAGTGCCTAGAAAGGCCGAAGCCTGAAAAACAGACAATCAGTACTTTCCCCGGCGGAAGGTGCAAGTGATCTCCGTTCAGTTAGCCCAGGACCGTCTCCCCCCGACAGCAAATGGGAAAAAGTTGCTGTGTGGAAATGAATGGGTCCCGAGGACAGACAAAAGATACTGCCTCTTTGCCTGAGCAGATGCAAAATCAAATCCTTAAGGCAAACGTAAATCTAATGTGGCTATTCCGATCAGGACTTAGTGAATGCAACTTCAAAAAGTTTTGCATTCGGAACCTGGGGGTTGGGGTTGTTCTGCGTTTTGGCCAAGTCTTTGTGATTCTGGTTTGGGTTTTAGGCACCTTCCCACAACTACAATCTTTTCTCAACACATCAACCTGAAGAGCGGACAGGGGCCATAAACATTGACTAGGAGAACAAAATATCTGCAAGGAAAAAGTTTCTGAGGCTGGAATTTCAGGCTGTTACCAAACCAGGAAAGATGACTCCCAGGCACCACATCTTACCATCTCTTACCCCCCCCCCACCTCCCCAAATCACCTTTATCCAAACCCCCCTAACTGCAAAGGCTCATAGACAGTGGCAAGCTAGTGGACCTGTATTCCTGACATGATGTTGAGTTCAAGTGACAGAATAGTTTTGTAGTACCAAAATTGCACTTTTTCTGATGAAACCAAGTAATTAAAAACAAATCATTTTTTCCTTATGCCGTGCTGAATGTTGCTTACTTTCAATATTGTCTTAAAAATTAAGTTGCCCAAAATATGGCTTTAATTTTTTTATTTTGTAATTGGATATTGAAGAAACATTTCATTAGAGCATGAGATATGTTTCATGTATGCATCAATGTAAATCAATGTTATATTCAGTATATTAGACTGTTTACATTTAAAGTCCAATCCTCTTAAATATATAAAATTACAAAATGGATATAAAGAGGAATAGAGATCAAGCCAATAATTTTTTTTTTCAAATCCCCTTCACAGTACTGGTAGTTTCTTTGTAGGAACATAAAGCTTTCAAATTAACTATAAACCGAGTGCTTCCTGGGCTCCTCTGCTGTACCACTTATGTCTTTACTTTTCAAAATGCCAGTCCATGTTAACAGGCATTAAAACACATGTTGTTTCATTACCGTAAAATAGAAGACTGTTTTATTCAATGCCTGAATTTATTACATGCCAGTGTCACCTTCACACTGATGAATTCAGGCAAGGAAAATAATTCAGGAAAGGAAAGAAAGTAATAGATTTCTATAATTATTTTTTATATAAAATTATTTCAAGGGAAACTGAAATTTTGTATCAAACACATCTTTTCTTAGTCCTTCTTTAAAAAAGAATTATGTCCATGCTCTGCTGCTTGAGACTGGCATAGTGTTTGCTGATCATACAGTATATTCATTTGATTTCAGAGGTGAATTACATTGGATTTTTTAACTCCAAATCTTTAAAGCATAGATTCATACTATAAAACTTAGTTGCTTTAAAGGTGTCCTTTTGCTGAAAATAAATAAATAAATAAATAAAACCTCCTTTGTGGTAATTTTCTGTTTTAGAAGACATATATCCAAGCTCTTTTATGCATCTTAATGTAAAATCATTAAAAATTCAATTTGCAAGTTACAGTTATTTTGCTTTTATTATTGTTATCTTAAACTGTAATTCTTGACTTTATATAGTGAGTAATATTATTTGTTTTATATTCTTGCTAGTTTTTATTTAATCTTTCAATTATAGTCATCTGTAACTGGAAAATTGAAGTGCAAGTCTGATTTATAAAATTTAATGCTTTTACTCCATTTTTGAGTGTTAGATGGAAATTTTTCCATGAATATTTCTCATTCTGAGTTTCAAAATGCTGGTAGAGTGGTCTAAATCCTACAAAAGTCTGAACATTTTTATTTGCTTTACATGCTTATGAAAGACTCATACTACATAATTTAATATTGTTAGCAAGGACAGAAACGTTAAAAGTAAAGAATATTATACTCACACCTCTAGCTTCTTCACAGTGTAAAGATTTTTTTTAATACACCAATTGTCCCATTTAAGGTTTCAGGCTCTGTATAACTATACTCCTAGAAACGAAGATGAACTGGAACTCAGAGAAAGTGATGTCATTGATGTCATGGAAAAATGTGATGACGGATGGTTTGTAGGTATGTGCATTTTTTTTCAGACCAATTTGACTGTAATTTGCTTGTGTTTGATCATCTGCATGATTTGATAAGATAATCAAGCTGCCTTTGATTTCATAAAGCCTTTGGTCTTTCATATATTCATATAGCATGTGCAATTTCAAGGCGTTTCCACCTGAGATATAGTTTAGTGTATAGTACTTCAAATATACATTTGTTCCTTCTAGTTTTATTTCCAATTCATCTGAGAGAAGAAAACTTCTTTAACTAGCACCAACCAGGAAAGACTGGGTTTCAGAATAAAAATAACAAAAATGGCCCCTGGATGAGGAAAGCATTTCTGACCCAGAGACCACTGGAAAATGTTCAGTAAAAAATGTAAATATGTTAGCAGAGAGGATCTATTTTGAGAAAACAAGTGAAGTGAGTAATTCACCCATTTACTAGGCTTGTTGTAGAGACTTTTCAAGTCTAGCAATTCACCTTTGCTTTAATTTGAGTAGATTCAGCCCATTCTAACCAGTTAAAAAAAAATGTCAATCTTACCATCTTCAGAAAGTAGGGATTCCCTGTGAATACATACATAGACAAGAATATTACACAGACATAGAGAGAATGTAGAAGAAGAAAACAAGCAGATTCTTCATTGTTTGGTTCAATGTTATTTCATTATAAATGTTGGTTAAGAAGAAAAGCAAGAGATCAGTCTCAGCCGACTCTGAAAGAAAAACTTTATTCAAGGACCTGCTTTGGTTTCACTTAAAGTCATAGTTTTCAAGAAGCAAAGTTAGTGAGGCCTTACTGCAAAGTCTCGAGAGGATGAAGGAAACAGAAGGTGGTGAATGAGAACATTCTCAGTACTGCAACCAGAGGGGATAGATTAAATAAAAGAACAAAGGCCACATCTGTAGCCACGAGCTTCCACCTCAGTTTAAATTAATGTTGCCTGATTACATGAAGAGAAAATAGCTCACCTACACAAGAGGGGAAAAAATCAGTTGTCAAATCAGGGATCAAGTTCCTGAAGACACAAAAGACTCTCTGGTCGCCATTTGTGTAAAGATTCTGTTCATTCTATTTGGGGCTTAATTTTCAAAGGAAGATGCAGTGTGCCAACTTTAAGAAAATTGTTTGAAAGAAATATGTTCTTTGAAATTGAAGGTGACCCCATTGACGATGACTGTGATCCCCAGTGACAGAAATGTGGCTCATTTCTTTTTTTCCTTCGGTGACTTTGCAAAAGATTGTGGATTTTCTCGATCTTTTGAAGGACTCTGGAAGTGCTGTTTTGTCAGTGGACTCATGAGATATTAGCCACTAAATCATGACAATTGTCCCAGGCAACATAACATGAGGTGACACCTATATCGAGCCATCCTTGCAAGTGTCACGTTCAAAGTGCTTCTCTATTCCATTCCTCAGACTTTCATTCCCGCAGCCCAAGAACGGAGCTTCCCTGCCCCCTCCACGACAGGATTGTGTGTTCTTAAACTGTTTATCCTGGTGTGCTAAGAACAGAGCGAGGAGGAAGCTTAAAGATGGTAAAGATAACTGTAGCACTGTAGCACTGTCCTCCCATTGCTCATCGATATGATCGAGTGGGCATCAGTGATGTCTACATTGTGAGACTTGTTACTGTTTTGGACATATTGAATATGCCACAGGGAGCTTGCCAGGCTCTGCGGTGCGGGCGGGATACTCTTGGTAGCTTGCCAGGCTCTCTGAGAGGGATGGAGGAATCAAACCCAGGTCACCTCATGCAAGGCAAACGCCCTACCCCCTACCCGCTGTGCTATCACTCCAGCCCAGTAAAGATAACAGGAAACACAAATGATGATCTACTTAGTTCGTCTCCCTAATGCCTTCAAGGGAGTTTTCTTTCTTTGTTTTCCAGAGCCTTGGAGAGTTTCTTAGGGAAGTCTTGTAAATCAAGAATTTTCTATCCCAGCCCCCCCCTCCCCCCCAGCTAGCTACTGCTATTTCATTGCAGTTACCTTTTTTTATTTACTGTTTCTATTTTCAGGCACCTCAAGAAGAACCAAATTCTTTGGTACTTTTCCTGGAAACTATGTCAAGAGGCTATGAATCACTGTCCCTCTATTTATGCCGCATTTCAGCAACACGTCTGCATAAATCTGCCTGAACTATGCCGGCAGGCCCTCTGTTGTCATGCCTTACAGTTTCCAGTAGAAGTTACTCACCATCACCATCTCCACCTGCCTCAGAACCACCAGCTACGTTGCTGCTGCAGCTGCCTGGGGGCGTGCTTCTGAGGGGAAATGCACGCACCTGCGATCTGTTCCCAGCTTGGGAAAGTTGATATGTGGATTCAAAGAAATGCGTTATACTTTTGAAAAGAGGTTACATACATAAGGCAAAAAAAAAGAAAAAAAAAGAAAAAAGTGTTTAAACGATTCTGGTCCACTTTGCCAGGGATTCTTTCCTTGGGCAACCAGAAGCCTGTTACTTACCAAATGCTGTGGTTTGCATTTTTATATTCTTAGCGTGGTGGTTACTTTCCTTTCACGAGTTTGCCTACTGTTCTGGTTTACACGATATAGCAACTGTACTTCAGCTAGTGTTTGCCTGCACTTACCTGTTGTAATATGCACAGTGATTACAAAATCTAAAGGAAAGTTCATTCGGACGAGTGTGATTTTGTTGATTGAATGTGAGTTTTCCAATAGAAAGTCTTTTTCTTTTCTGCGCTTTTTTTGTACCTTTTAGAAGTGCAAATAGTAAGAGCCTTTGGTCATAATCATGAGAATACAAGAAGTTTAGCTAGACTAAAAAAAACTATTGTGTTGTAAAGTTGCATTGCTATTTTATATTAAAATGTAATAATCAGCATCATGAACAATGAGCTCTTAGTGTGTTATTTATCTGATAAAATTTAAATAAAAGCAGTGTTAGTGAGAGGTGCAAAGATTATCCTAACATAGACACTTGAAAGTATCTGTAAGCAATATTCATAGGTAAGATTTCACTGTGTGTACACATATACATTTGAGATTGTATGGAACCGGCAATCCAAATGAGATGTTGTACATTTTATGGAAATGTAAAAGAATCCCACATATTATTTTGTAGAAAATAGAGTATTTCAGGAGCATCACAAGTATTAAGGCTGGTTTTAGCAAGGATTACAATCATTACAATTATTTTTACTATAATAATTATTTTTCTTCTCTGGAACTCAGAATCCTGGCTACATTTGAGGACAGGAATATGTTGAGCCTGATTTTCCTGGTGTGTGTAAATATTTCTTTGGGCCTATTTGGCGCTTTTTAAAAGCAATGTTAAGTCATTCAGGTTATACTTTCTGACCGGAAGTAGAAACAGAAAATGATGCTGAGGCCTGAAAGATGTGCTGTTTAACAGTGCCTGACTTACACATACTCTGAAAACTAGCTTTGTATTTCTTATGACTTTGCATAAGAACTGTTCCTATTTTGATCTTGAGCACCTTATAGATCTAACTTTTTATGGCATTTCTTCTGTGGACAGTAGCAGTCTTTTCAGAGCCTACATAAATTCTAGAATTTTGTATATATGTTTGCTCTTTTTTGGTACAGACTAGTTGAGAAACACAGAGAAATTTCCTGATTCAGTCTTTAGCCTTCACTTAAACTGAGCTAGAAAGCGTTCAATGGATTATCCTTTAGCTATCCCACAGATATAAGCACGTCTTGATAGTGTGATTCTGTAATCTATTGAAATATGCAAAAGTTTATGAATTTAAAAGACCTTCAAGCCAAACTAAAATGTACATAAATACTGAATGCAGAGGAATTTCATTAGGAAGAAGATAGAGAAACATCTCTGAGTAGCCTGCCTTGATCACTGTCAAGTTCACAACCAGCTTTATATTTAAAAGGCCTTGGGTTTGAAATTAAGTCAATTGCATGCAGCTTTGCTGATAAATGAATAATTATCTCTGATGACATTTATGAGAAAAGACTTCAATATCCGTTGCCTGTCATATTTAAGAAAAATTACTGTTTCTACTCTCTGTATCTAATTTTAAATGAAAAATATTCACACCTGGCTTTCAGGTAATTGACTTTGAATTCTTACAAGCAAAGGTCTTTGTGTTTTTCTTGAATAGACATCTAATAAATTTTGCTTGGAAGTACACTTCAGTTTTCTTTCGGGTTTTTGTTTTGTTTTGCTTTGCTTTGGGGGTCACACCCAGCCATGCTCAGGGGTTACTCCTGGTTCTTCACTCAGGAATCACTCCTGGCAGTAGTTTTCTTTCTTGGTATCTATCGTTGAGAAAATTCTCTGTTTTATCTCAGTTTGTTAGGTAACTAAGACTATGCATTTGCTATGTGTAATCTCAGCCAATAGATGGCGAAAAGACATGTCCGCATCAGCTCACCCAAGTAGTTTTTAAATCCACCACTAAAGTTATCTACTGAACCCTTTGCTTTGAAAACGCTCTTTAGCAGCTAAAACAACACTGTACAAACTAATTCTTTCTGTGATGAGAGATACTATAGGGATTTAACCACTCACCTTGAACTGCTCAACCAAGTTAGATTCCCTGAGCACTGCCAGCAGTGATCCCTAAGCACGAAGCTAGGAGGAAGCACTGAGCACAGCCAGGTATGGCCCAAACCCCCAACACTCCTCTGAAATAACAGCTATTTTTCCAAGGAGAAGCTACTTGTGAGAAGTTGTAAGCACTTTCCCCAAGTCAAGTCACTTAAATTGTGAATCCTTACCCTAGAAAGCTTTGTCAACATTGTTTTTGTCTTTTTAGTTTGGTTTGGGTGGAGAGGGGCAGGGGCGGAAGCCACAGCCAGCAATATTCTGAGGTTACTCCTGGCTCTGTACTCAGGAACTGCTCAGGAGACCATCTAGAATGCTGGGGATGGAACTCAGGTTGACCAAGTGCAAGGCAAACACCCTTGCCCCTGTACTATTGCTTCAGCTTCACCATTATTAGAACAACAGGTACAATGAATTTCAAATTGTGTTCTGCAGTTGGATACCAGTCTTTTCTTTCACACAGATAGTAAAAGTTGCTAACTTTCCTGTTTGAATCCTTCCTCATATACCTCAATCCCTTCTGTCTGTCTACATTTCCATCTTTTTCTTTCCATATCTATCACTTATATTCAGAAATAGTGGAGTTTCTCTGTTGGCAATTTAGTGATCGAAAATGTCTTACCCTGTTGCTTCATCTTATATCCACTCCAACTTCTTACAGTCCTCTAAGTTTTACTCTGTCTCATCTTTTCACTAATGTCTGTTGCCTCTGTGAAGAACGTACCCTACTCTATCCCTTTGTTCCTATTTCCTTTCAAATGTCCATGGGAGATATTACTTGGCAGCTCGGAAAATTTGGGATGCTGGTTTGTACACTCTGAGGTTATTTGCCATTGCTCTCTGCAAATGATCAGTACTCAAAAATACGAGATTTAGAATTTAGGTACATCAAAACCATGCTTTCTTAGATCTGCCTGATAACCATGCTTATCAGCATCTGCTATACTGCTACTGTAGTTTTTTCAAAGAGTGCTGAACTTGAAATCCTTAATCTGGTTGCCCAGACTTTTGTCACAGACATCTTGGCGATGCTGTGGTGTCCAGAATAGCTGGAGCCAAGGTTTGAGTCTCTTGTCAGTCTTCCTCGTTGTGGATGACAAGATTCTGGGTGGTGTATTGCTTTATTTTTTCTTCACAATGGTTTGATACTAAGACCTATTTCATTTGATTTTATGACTTATTCATGCTCATCATTTACACACTAAAACATAAAGTTTTACTTATGTTGTTGAAGCTCCATCCCCCACTCTGACCACCACCGTTTTATTTAAACTCTATGGTTTACAAAGTTATTCACAATAATTTGTTACAGGCATTCAGTATTCCAACACCAATTCCACCACCACTGTTACCTTCCCTCCACCACTGCGTTCGCCTTACAAGCCTTACATGGCCGACCCGAGTTCGATTCCTCCGCCCCTCTCGGAGAGCCCGGCAAGCTACCGAGAGTATTCAATATGCCAGACACAGTAACAACAAAGTCTCCAATGGAGACGTTACTGGGCCCGCTCGAGCAAATCGACCCTTCAAGCCTGCCCTGTGCCAGACTCACAAAACTTTATTTCATCGCCTATTACTACTAAATGGCAAATGGAATGCTCAAAAAAATATTTTCGTAGAAGAAAATTTGTGAAAATTATTGTATCTCACCATGGGGATACCAATTATTGACTGTTTAATAACGCAATGGGCTGGAGCGATAGCACAGTGGTAGGGCATTTGCCTTCGAGCAGCCAGCCCAGCCAAGCCGGGTTCGATTCCTCTGCCCCTCTCAGAGAGCCCGGCAAGCTACCGAGAGTATCTCGCCTGCGCGGCAGAGCCTGGCAAGCTACCTGGGACATATCCAATATGCCAAACACAGTAACAACAAGTCTCAAAAAAATGGAGACGTTACTAGGCCCGCTCAAGCAAATCGATGAACAATGGGAGGACAGTGACAGTGACCATGGGGATATTTAGTCCTTGCCTGGGGGGTTAATAAGCTATTGTTGTGGGTTAGCCTTCTGTGTTAATGTTTTTGTTAGTCAATGTTTTTGTTGGCTTCTGCATTACTTTTCCATACAATCTGGTATACTATAACTGGAGAAGTAAGTGTTGTAAATTTTGAAGATGCCACTCCAGAACATCCTGAAGCCGTTTCTTAGTTGGTGAAATAGGATCCATTGCTGTGAACCCAATATAGAAAAGCTAGCAAAGCACTATCTCTACACTACACCTCGATCTGTTGGGAACTCATATCTGGACACCAACAGTCCATCCAGGTTAGCAGCAATGGAACCTCTGAAACTTTATGTTGAATTTAATGCCTCCTTCAGAAGGTCAAGTCCATTTCTTGGAAACAGCAAGGACCTGTTTGGGTAAATGTTCATAATTAACCACTACATGATCTCCCTTGATCAGTGATCAACTTGTGTCATTTAATGATTTCTTTCTACCATTTTTCAGAGTATAGCTACAAAGGAAGAAATTCTTTAAGAATCATTTTTAACAAATTTAAACAATTTTAACAAATAATTCCAAGAGCCTGTTAAACACTTGCTTCATCCTCCTTTCCTGATTATAGACTTTTAAGAGATGTTTATTTATCGGCTATGATTCCAAATTATTTATTTTAGCATAAATATGATTCAAAGAGGAGGCAGTGATGAAAGTTATAAATTAACAATCCATACCAGAGATTGGAAGCCCATGTCACACAAAGCAAAAAGTTCTGTAAACTGTTTTCTATGTGGAATATAAATTTAAAATAATTTCTGTAGACAATCACTAATAATTGGGTATATAGAAATACTAACTTTGAATACCAGTTAGGTGGAAGGAAAATGTCACCCCAGAAAAATAATCCTTTCTTTTCATTGGTATATGTATATCAGAAAAACTTTAACCCCCCCTCCAAAAAAAGAGAAAAACTTAACCATATATTATTATATTCTGAATTTCATCAATAAAATATTGATATAAATTTGTTTTTTGTTAAAAACTATGTTCACTGCTTCTTGGGCAACAAAGTAGAAAATATTTACTCTGTATTTTTTAGAGGAAAAAAAACCCCACATGAATCCTGGTCATTACTAATTGCTAACAACATATCTGGAAACTGACTAAAGAAAAAGGAATATTGAAAATCTACTATTTATTGTATTCTGTGTTTTAAACTCATAACACACCTAAGAGGAAATCTGCATTGTGCCCATCTTATAGGTGAAATGTTGAGGCTCTGAGATGTTGATATAAAATATGATGGAAATCAGACTCAGAATCTGGTGTGCTTGTCACCTATGTTTATACATCTAAACCTCGCAAACTTGATGTTAAATAGACTATTGATTAGACTGTACACCTGGAGCTAAACAGGTACATCTTCCCTACAATCCTTACAAAACTGCTCTAAGGAAGACCACCCATTCATAACATCCACAAAATCGTTCTTCTCTGAGAAAGCAAACTTTGCTTTCTAAAAGAACACAGTGACCAGTGAGGATGTGATTTAAAATAGGTATATTTTTGCCGTGCTTGAATCTATCCATGAATTGTTATTCATTAAGGCCTTATTGGCTGCTGCCAGTGACCCAGCTAGGCAGCTTCTGGTAGTGGTAGGAGTATTTGTTTGTTATTTGCTGAGGCACTTGGAAACAAGGGAACCTAGATGTTCTAAGAACACAGTGTGCTTATAGTTCTTTTCCCTAACAAAGCCCAAGGGTCCACTAGCCATTTTCTGCTGCATGACTGACTTGTTAAGTTACCCAGAGCCTTAGATCACTGCTAAATTCAGCCTCTCTGTATTTCAGTAAAGTGCCATCTGAGCTTACACACATACATATACTTGACCCCAAAAGCTTTCAGTACAAGATAGAAATCTGCCTCTTAAATCCTCACCTGTTTCTTCGGGGTTTCTTGTTTCATTCTTTTCCCCAAAATATGGATGACTCAGTCATCCCACAGTCTTCCAAAAATAAGTGTCTTTTTAAAAGACCCCGAACATTATCATTAAAAGCACAAATACACAAGAGTCCAATCTTACAATAATTACAGAAAACTTGAGAATGTCTCAAAACATTGTTTTCTTTTTTAAAATTTGAAATTTAAAAATGCAATGCTTGTGTAGTAATGCTTATTATATACAGATGTTTGGTGTAGGAAAAATAGAAAATATAAAATGAGCATAATGAAAGAAATTAGAATTACTAAGTCCCATTTAGAGTAAAGATTACATTTTGGAACACATCTTTCCAGAGTATGTTTCTGCACGTGCATGAAAATGCTTTGTATGTGATATATAGGCCAAAGCAGAATAAAACTGAGCATACTGTTTTATAATGTGTTTACTAAACATAAATCTAAAAAGGATGAATAAATCATGTTTTCTAGTCAAGTCAACATTGACTAGGGGGGGGGGGCGGGTTGAGTTTCCCTCCCCGCCCCGAACAGAGCTCCAGCAGCCGAAGACCTCCAGAACCAGCCACCACCATGCTGAGACCACTCTCCACACGCATGAAGGTACCGGCAGAGGAAAAAAGGCATGTGGGTCCCGGGGCTGAGATCTCCAAGCCTGCTCGGATCGGGGCTGAGCATCCTCCACCCAG